GTTTTTGGAAGACGTTATACCAGTTGGCTTCCTAATTGTTGTTAATCAATCAGTTTCTGTGTATATGGGTAGAATGGAGATGCAAAACAGAATATTTGGTTTTCTATATAATTGTAAAATAAAAACAAAATGTAAAGCTAATTGTACGAGAACTAGAATTGGACTTTTTTTTTTTTTTTTTTTTTAAATGGAACATATCATTTCCAGGCCTTCTGACTAGGGGTGTGGAGGTGGGGGTAAAGAGGGCATTTATCCCCGGGACTTGAATATTCAAAGGTTGTCAGGAGCTCCCAGCTGCTGCCACAACTATTGCAGCAGTGGTGTCTGCTTGAAGCCACAGTCCCCTTTTGAATTACTGCCAGCATGTAATGGGGAACAGGAGCCATGGTCTGGGTGACACCAAAGTCTGACTGCCTTTGGTTCCACCGCTTCCAATAGAGGCCCCATCCCTTCTGTCAGGGTGGCAGTGCCCCTCACATTTTGCCCTGGGGCCTGCGGTAGCTTTCGGCCCTGCTGAGCATTTCCAGTGTTTTCAAATGTCTACTAACGGAATATTGAAGTTTACTGCAGAGTTATGTACTGATGCTACATGTGCGTATGTACAGGATATTAAAGGTGTATGATGAAAATTACTCGTGTAGAGATCTAATGTTTGTTTTGGATTGGCACTGTAGAAAAGAATGCTTAAGCCAACTGTAATAAAGTGTATGTTATTACTGTCATATAAGATTATACTCCTTTCGGTTTGGGTTCTATAAGATGCTAAGCACCTAGTGAGAAATAACTCCCATTGAAGTTAATGGGTGCTGAGGTTTCTAAGCATCTTGTAGGATAATAGCCTTAGGAATGTCACAAAATGGGCCTGATTCTGATCTCTCACAATTCAGCTTTTGAAGTGATTGCAGTTGCATACTGTCCTTGCTGTCAGTCCAAGATGCGTTCCAGAAAACTTGGACTTAAAGTGAAACAACTTAAAGTGGGGAATCTTTTTCCCGTGGCTGACTTCCATTTGCTCAGTTTTTTTGTGTACAACTTATGAGCAGGAAATGGGAGGACTTATAATGCATAACTTCCTACAAGCATCAATGACTTTAGTGCAGAACGGATGTATACCAGGGCGCCGTATAGCAGGGAAAACCTGTACTGGTAAAACAGGTTTAAAGGGCCTGATCCAAAACCTGTTTTTTGGATCAGGCTATGAGATTGGATTGAGCTCACGCTCTCTTGTGTAGTTTAAATCTTTTAAAAAGTGCTCCTGCAATATTTTAGAGCACTTATTAAAAATTTTGATTTAACGGAAACTTCCATGGGTTTTACTTTTTCCATCATTGCTGATTATCAAGATACATTTTTGTGTTTTCTGAATAGAAACTTTTCCTTTTACAATTGGTCATTGTTTTCTGTCATAATTGCTAGCTCCCCATTCAGTTTTAGTGCATGCTTAAAGTCCTTTGCTGAATCAGGGATTGAAGGACAATTAATATCACAGTTCATAATCACGGAAATGATTGTCATCTTTATTCTTCCCCATTCATCTTGAGCTGGGATGTATGAAGTAGACAGCTTCTATTTAAGCACAAGTATTTTGATGATAATTAGCTATGTGACAAATAGATTTGTTTGCTAAATGCATAATTCAAATTGATGTTTAATTTTTTTGAAAAGCTGTTTTTAAAAGAGTGAATTTCAGTAGCAACTCTTTATTGAGAGAAAGAGGAATGTTGGAAATGAATTCAAGACAGTTTGGTCTTACAAATAATTAAAAATGAAGTTCTAGTATCACTGGATGTAATATTCTCCAAAAGGTTAGCATTGATTGCTTACTCTTTTTAAATACAAATTGAGACAGCATTGCTTATGATATTGTCATTATTTATTATAGGCACTAATATAGCATCCAGTACTGTTTCATGTAACCCAGTTTTGTCTAAATAGCAACATTGTACTACTGTATTAATGTTTGTACTCTGTTAAAAAATTATACTATAGCCCAGCTAATATGAATATATACATCCTACAGACAAACTTCTTTTATCATTTCAGAAACTATAAGTTGTCCTATCATTCATTTTGCTTTCTCTTCTTCACAGATCTAATATGTAGAATGATGGACTGTAATCTAGATTCCAACCATGCACCCTCCTTCTCTCATGCTTTGAATATTAAAATCATTTTGTGGTGCCATTCTTCTAGTTAGTCTTTTTAAAATGTAACTGTTGCTGTTAACCTTTTTACAAGGTCTTTTGAATACTAGTATTTTTAATGTAGACCAAGAGCTTGCCTTACGGAAAAAGAAAATAATTCTGTGGTATAAACTTCTCAACTCAACTCAATTACAAAGGAAAGATTTGAGGGAGGAAGCAGATTGAGTTTTAACAGAATGACAAAGTGTTTTAAAAAATCCACACTCAAAGTTCCCAGTGATTGACATGCTGCAAAACATGTGATTTATGTATCATGAACTTTTCAATTGCTACTGTACATGTGTGTGTTTGATCTAAAAATAATAATTTGACTAATAAGGCTAGGAACAATTGGGGAATAGAAGGAAGATAATGAAACTGTTCTTATCTGTAGTTGGCTGGTATTTCCAGGATTAAAGTAGGTCTGTCATACTTGCAAAAATACAAAACGCGTGCACACCTCCCCACCAAAAGAACAAAAAAAGTCTGCAAGCAATGGTAAAACCAACCAATGATTTACTGTTTTTGTAATGTTAAAATAGTTCTTCACCAAAACACCTAGTAATCAAAAGTAATGTGAGTTATGGAAAATGGAAATACATAAAGATGAATTTATACAAGTGGAAGACTACATATTTTACATAGAGATACTTCAGTGAGAAGTTATACAGTAAGTGCACACTCAATATGACTAAGCAGGCAAAACTTAATGTTAGTTCCAAATAGCATTGTATAGTTCATGCACAGGTCTCTCCCAAAATAAAGGGTGTGTTCCAAATAATTCTTGCTGGGGTGAAAAATAGGATGGGTTGTTGGTAAGGGAGTCAGCATGGATGGGGGATCAGTTATAGACATTACTTACTGTAATTTGTGATTGCCGTGGGAGAGGAGTGGCTGTTGGTGTGATAGTGATACTGCTTGTGATTTTACTAGTAGATTTAATGGCTGTTCCATTAGTTAGTGCTGGAGTTCTGTTATCCTGACTGGGAGTACAAGGTTTTGTTGAATTAGCAAGAGCCTGAACATAAGGACTTCCTAAATGAATATGGATTTTGTTATCCTCAGTAGTTATTACACTTGAACCAGTGCTGTTAGATCTTTGAAAGTGCCATGACGATTGCCTGTCTGGGGACACTCTGAAAACAGTATGCTTGGCACCAATTTCCAAAGGCTCTGAAGAAAGCATTTGTTCTGGAGAACTTGTCAGAGCCAATGGAGACGTTGTCCTTTCTGGAGTTATTGAGCCACATGACTCAGGAGTTTGAGATCTTGCAAAAGTTGCCATTGTAATAGGTGACATGGCTTGCTCCGGACTCATGTAACCATCAACTACTTTTGATTTTAAAGGAGTTAAGGAGGCATTTTGAATAATGGTTATTCTTTGCTTTGGTGTGCCACAGTTGGGTATAACTGCTGTACTAGTGTAAGAGTGAGGACTATCTGTAGTAGGGCTTGTTATTTCAAGGGTAGCTGTGTTTTGTCCATGGTCTGGAGTAACCTTTATATGAAGAGGTTGACCAGGCGTGTGATTTAGAACTAAATCTCGTGGCTGTGCACAATTTCCATTCTGTTTGCTATGAATTTTTCCATTTTGAGGATGGCTTTCTTTGGACTTCATCCATGGGATCCATAATTTTTTGTTTACTGCATTTGCAATGGATGAATTGCATTTGAAAGACACTGTTTGCTCCTCATCGTTGTCTTCGTCTTCATTATCACTCTCTTCATACAACTGCCCATTTATGACTGCTCGTTCTAAAGGAACAAGACTCTTGTAATCAGGTGGTTCACTGTCTGCTGGATCTGTTTGGACTTCTTTAGAGAGAACCTGCAAATCAGAAATTCTCCTTCCATTAAGACTAGGTCTAAGGCTCTTACTGAAGCGTCTGTATCTCTCTAATTCTTTAGTAAGGCTATCAATTTCTCTGGCTAGCTCTCTGTTTTTGTTTTCTTGCTGGGTGAGTTTCTTTTGTAGGACTATATGATCACCCCGTAGATGACATATTAGGTCTTCTGTGGCCATGTACTCATGAATTTTCTCTTTCAGTGCATCTACCTCCCTAGACAGGTGCCCTGACTTTGCTTCTTCTTCTTTAAGTTTTCTGAAAATCCACTCTTCATGGTTGGACTCTGCCTTCTCTGCTAACTTATATCTAGCCAGTTCGATTTTCACACCCTCCAGTTCTTCTGATAGAAATTTAGCTTTGTCTCGTTCATTGATGTATCTTCGTTCTAGAGACTCAAATTCATCTTCAGTTTTCATGAGATCATCCTCTATGGCCTTCATTTCTTTCAGCTTATTTTTCAGCCTCTCAACTTCTTGGGCAAGTTCTTTGATCTTGTTGTTCTCCTGCTGTAAGGATGTGCTTGCTTTAGTGGTCTCTTTGAGTTTATTTTTAAGAAACTCTTTTTCAATGGCTTCTAGTGACTGAAGCCTTTTCCTTAGAATATTTACCTTGCAAAAGAGATCACTTCCTTTCTCTTCTTCTGCTTTTAGTTTGTTTTTCAGTTCATCTCTTTCCTTCGTTACACTGGACATTTTTTCCTCTGCATCAGTTTTTGATTTCAGTGCTTTTTTACTTTCTTCAATGAGTTTTTCTGTAACTGACATCACTTTGTTTTGCTCCACCTGAAGCTGGGAAGTTGCAGATTGTAACTTTTCTTCTGTTTGCTTTATTTTTTCACTCATTGTTTTTCTTTCATCCACAAGCATGACCGTTAATGTTTTCAGTTTAGTTAAATCTTCTTTGAGTGTGAATTCTGTTTTTTCTAATTTGATTTCAGTGGTTTCAAGCTCTCCAATTCTAGCTTTTAAGCCTTCCAACTCCTGAGACAATTGCTTTGTTAATATTTTTTCTTTTTCTAGATTGCATTTCAGGTTATAACATTCTTGTTTGCTCTTGTTGAAAGCATCTTCTAATTTCTCCAATTCCATAATTCTTTTGTTGAGTTTGTCAACTTCTGCTTTAAAGTTCTTGTTTTGTGCTGCTTCTTTTTCTAATTTTTTATTAAGCTCTCTACACTGGTCTTCCATTTTTATGAGCTCTTCATCTTTACCTTCCATTTCCAAGACACGTGTCCGTAATTCTTCCACTTCAGACATAAGGGTGGAATTTCCACTTTCTCCTTTATTTATTTTTTCCCGTATGTCTTGCAATTCTTCCTCTGCTTTTCGTAAAGACTTATTAGTTTGCTCTAATTCATCTATTTGTCGAGTGAGAGCTGTTAATTTTGACCGGAGCTGGTGATTCTGGCTGTCTTCATTGGTTAATTTGGCCATCATTATTTCTTGTTCTTGGGAAATCTTTTTGGTTTGGGCTTGCAATTCTGCTTCTAGTCTGATGGCTTTCTGCTTTTCCTCTTGTGCTTTTGCTTCAGCAATTGTGAGTTTCTCGTGTACTTGCTCGGCAGTAGTGGTTAGCTCTTGGATTTTTTGACTTTGTTGGTTCAGCTGTTCTGTAAGTCTTTGTTGTTCATCCACCACCATTAAAGCAAATGATTTCAGTTTTGTCAGTTCTTCTTTCAGTTTAATTATTTTCTTGTTGTTTTCCTTCTCTTTTTTTGCCTGATAGGCTGTTTCTTGGTCAATCAGCTTTTTCAATCTGAAAAACACAAAAGATGTTTTATTTTGTTTTTGCAGTAGATTTTTCAAGATAGATGTGTTTAGAATTCTGATACCATCTAGAGTAGAGATGAACAAAGTGCAATCTATGATGTAACCCGAGGCCCTCTGACTCTACAGTGCAATGGAAAAGGCCATGGGGACTATAAGTCCTCACATTAAATGCTTCATTTTAACCAGACATGCCAGTCCATCTGGCTTATTCAGGCCTGTGGGTTCTACTCTTTGAGCAGTAGAGGTACTACCTTCAGGCTTCTGTATTTTCCTGTGCATCAGTTGGGCAAGCTTCACACACCCCACTCTAGAACAAAATTAAATTGTCTGGTTCCCAAAGTTGGTCTAAACACACTGTTTTTATTCCTATTTATCTGTTTAATAAATAGATATTATGTGTCAGCACCTCCTAAGTGAAAAGGGTTCTTTTCCATCTTGTAGCAGTCTAATTCTGCTGTACAACAGGGAACTGCTTTGATTGGTCATGGTTATTTTGAACGTCAAAACCCCCAAATTCGTTATGTAAAACTCTGAGTTGCTGATGTATCTGAAAATATAGTATGAAACCCTGCCTTTTCCTGAAGACTTAAAGTGTTCCATGAGATTTTTCTAAAATCAGATTTACATGTCACTCAAATATGACCGTTCCCTGTTATGAGATGCAGGATATTTCAGTTGTGACAGCTGTTATGTTAGGGTTGTGCTTTTGCGTGCTGCAAAAAAAATCTTAGTATTTGGGTTTTTCACTGGCTTTTCTTTTTTGTCTTGGTGATATTTGAGGTTGAAATAAAAGGTGACTTGATATCTTCAAAAGCTTCAGGGTGTAGCAAAATTAGTCTATATAGGATAAATTTAAAAAAAAACAAATAGTCTGGTAGCACTTTAAAGACTAACAAAACAGGTCGATGGCTGTGCTCATGATACCATCGACCTGTTTTGTTAGTCTTTAAAGTACTTACCAGACTATTTGTTGTTTTTTAAGTTTATCTTGACATCTTCAGTATTTCTGCCTCCTTTCCATCAGCTCTTCACTTATTTCTTTCCCATAAAGTTTGCTCATTTAGAGATTAGAAAAGCACAAACATAAAACAGAAACACAAATCTGTGTGTGTGTGTGTGTGTGTGTGTGTGTGTGTGTGTGTGTAAAAAGTAATATCTGTATTAAATGACCTTTGTTAGGAAAAAAGAGATTGTGGTAGGACTCTATCTAAAGGCCCATGTTGCGACCATCACCTTCTCATTCAAGAAGAACTAGGTCAGTGGTCTACAACCTTTTTAAGCACAAGATCACTTTTTGAATTTAAATGAGTCCAGGGTCTACTTCAAATGCAAATACCCCTCCCCCTCTTCTCCGAGGACCAGCTCCATCCCTTCACCAAGGCCCCATCCTCCTCACTCTGGGAAAATGGGGTACAGAGGAGGGGGACTGTGACATCAACACCCCCCTTCGTCTGTCTCCCCTGCTCTGCACAACAAGGAGGCTCTTGGGGGCAGCTCTGAGGCTCTGGACAGGAACAGCAGGGTAATGGAGGGAGGGGCAGCTGAAGTGCAGGCACTTGATAGCCTCCCAGCCAAACCAGTCAGAATCACCTGTCAGAGGCTCCAAGCTCTACCAGTAGATCTTGATCTATTGAACTAAGGAGCAGCATGGATGGGAATACTACCTAGTTCAGTATCAGAGGGGTAGCCGTGTTAGTCTGAATCTGCAAAAGCGGCAAGGAGTCCGTGGCACCTTATAGACTAACTGAAGTGTAGGAGCATAAGCTTTCGTGGGCAAAGACCCACTTCGTCAGATGCATCTGACGAAGTGGGTCTTTGCCCACGAAAGCTTATGCTCCTACACTTCAGTTAGTCTATAAGGTGCCACGGACTCCTTGCCGCTTTTGCAGATTCAGACTAACACGGCTACCCCTCTGATACTGAACTAGGTAGTATTCCCATCCATGCTGCTCCTTAATAAGTGATTAAGTGACGTGAGGAACACAGTCCTGAGGGCTTTGCATGCAGACTCCGCAACACCTACGTTTCGCAGTACACTGAGTCTAGATTCTTACATGGTAATAGAAAGTTAGTGATGGTAAACAAATTGATCTGGTATTTGTCCTTTTCTTATGGTAGAAATGGGTAAAGGTTTCAGACATTAGATTACCAACAATCTCTCTCTCATCACCTTTGCTGTACACAAAGTATTATTGTTGCAGCCAAGAAGTCATTGCTTCTGCGGTGGAATTCTTTATGTGCAATATTGACAGCATGAACAAAAATAGTGAAATGTGATAAGCTTAAATTTAGGGCTTTTATAAATCACATACAATGAACTCAAGTGCTTAAAAACATGATACATTTGTGATTATTTGCACTTCTAAACAACAGAATAACAATTGAAATTTATTAAATATTTTTGGATTTTTAATATCTTTTCAAATGTATAGTACAGGATAGAATACAGAGTGTACACTTGCTGCTTTATTATTATTTTTCATTAGAAATATTTGCATTGGAAAACACCAAAAGAAATAGTATATTTCAATTCACCTCCTACACTTACTGTTGTTCAATGTCTTTGTCATAGAAGTATAACTTACAAATGTAGATATTTTTGTTAGGTAAGGGCACTCTTTTAAAAAAAAAAAAAAAAAAAAAAAAAAAGAAGAAGAAGTAAAACTTGAGACCTTACAAGTCCACTCAGGCCTATTTCTTGTTCATCCAATTGCTAAGACAATCGGGTTTGTTTATATTTATGGGAGATAATGCTGCCAGCTTATTGTTTATTATATCACCTGAAAGTCAGAACGGGTGTTTACATGGCAATTTGTAACCAGTGTTGCAAGGTGTTTGTGCCAGGCATTCTAAACATTCATATGTCCCTTTGTGCTTTGGCCAATATTCCAGAGGACATGTTCATGATGCTCATTATAAAAAAAATGCATTAATTAAATTTGTGACTGAACTATATGGGGGAGAATTGTACATCATTTGTCCATATATTTCATGTTATAGCAGTCTCATATGATGTCCCATCACATTTTATTTTAAGAACACTTTCGTAGCATATTAGAACGAAAGGATGGTACCAATTTGAGATTTCTAAAAATAGCTACAGCACTCAGAGTTTAAGAGTTTGAAGTGCCTTTGAAAATCTGACAGGGATGAGGTGTAGAGCATGTTTTTAGAAATCTTAACAGAGCAGCTCTCTGATGTGGAAACTACAGAACCTAGGCCACCAAAAACAAAATCAGCCTTCTGATTGGTGTCATCTGAGTAAGATGAAAAAAGTGAACATGCATTGGTCCACTCTGCTTTAGATTGTTATTGAGCAGAATCCGTCAACAGCATGGACATACATCTGCTGGAATGGTGGTTGAAGTATGGACTAAGAATCTTTAGCGCAGGTACATTTCTTGAGATGCCAGCCACAACAATGGCATGTGAACGCCTGTTCTCGCTTTCAGGTGACATTATAAACAAGAAGTGGGCAGCATTCTCTCCTGCAAATTGTCACTGAACTTGAATGATTGGCTGAATAAGAAGTAGGACCGAGTGGACTTTAGGCTATAAAGTTTTACATTTGTTTTATTTTTGAATGAAGTTAATTTTTGTACATAATTCTACATTTTGTAAGTTCAAGTTTCATGATAAAGAGATTTCACTGCAGTACTGGTATTAGGTGAATTAAAATATTTCGTTTGTTTTTACAGTGCAAGTATTTGTAATAACAATTAAATATCAAGTGAGCACTGTGCACTTTGTATTCTGTGTTCTAATTGAAATCAATATATTTGAAATTATAGAAAACAACCAAAATATTTAAATAAATGGTATTCTATTTTTGTTTAGTTGACAGCCTTATTTTAAGGAATACTTTATAAAACCATTATTTAAATTTAAAATTATTTATAGAGCTTAATAATATAATTTGGAAATGGACATTACAAGATGTTGATAAGGGAAGAATTGTTTTCAAATGAGCTTTGAAAAATGATAGTGGGTTGATAAAGCAGACAAATTCAGGATGTCTGCTCAAGATGGCAGGAAAAACAGAGTCAAAGACTTATTACTACATTTTTGGCATTAAAAAAAGTTCTACTTAATAACTCTTTTTCATTTGTATATATTACAACTTGTATTTGTGTTCCCAACGGTGTAAATCTCCCTGTCTTCCCTAGTCCTACCCTTGAGTGCTTCAGTAGAGAAGTTCAGTTGATGATTTGGTGTTACCATAGATACAAAACCATAACAGAAGCATAACTAGCAGATTTACTTGGACTTGTTCAGCTTTTGCCCGTGTCTGAGGTTAGCCATCTTACAGTAATGCAGCCTGAATTTATTCCAAATTATTAGTCTTGGTTTTACTTAATCAAATTGTTTCCTTAACTTTTATAATTCATTTTTAAAAGGATACTATCTGGGCAAGAGCCTAAAGAGTAATACCTAAATTAATCAGAAATATATTCAACATCTATCTTTTAGCTAGTGATATCTATTTAGCCCAACAAACAAAAATGTTTTAACTCTTTGTTGTGCTTTAAAATTTTATTTCTAGAGCACGTGATTGGCCACAAAACCTTAAACAATTCTAACTTTTCCATGGTTTTTCTATAATGATTTTATAATGCAGTTTAGGTAACAAAATTTTCTTTAATTTCAGTTGGCTGGTGTCTGAGTAAGCACAGAAATCTTTCAACATGCATACTGTTTATGCATTCCAGTTCATATCTTCATGCTCTTTTATAGTGTTATCTCTTTAGTAACTGGGCTTGCTTGTTAAAGTAAGGAACTCAAGTCTTAATAAAGTCCTTGCTGAATCAGGTCCTGAGATTCGACTGAGGTACACAAATTGAGCTTTGATCAAGTCTGCTCTGTGTTAGTTAGTATTTGAACAAGCAAATTCTGTTACTGGTACCTGTCCTGGGTTATTGACTAACTCTGTTAAATTCTCTGGGGCTCAGTCTGTGTGATTATTCTGAAGTGCTAGTCAGGATCTGG